TAAATCCATAAAATAAATATTTTATCAACTTATTACTCTTATATATGCGAAGTTAAATAAATTCTTTAACAACTGTACGTTTTGAAACATTCCTAAAAAAAGTACAAAAATTGACATTTATTTTCTCCAACAGTTAGTTTTTATTTTTTTTCCTCATTTTTTCTTTCATTTCTTTTTTTTATTTTTCACCATGTATGCATTAATGTCGTGACTCAAAATCTTCTGCCAGTTTCTAGAAATTTTTCATATGCTAACAACTAATTTTCATATATTCCTTTATTTCTATTTTTTGTATTATGACTATTTCATTCATATTAACATCCAACCTTGTTGCACTTATGGTCTCTACACGGTCAAGTGGGTGAGTTTAGAAGGCACCAACGTTTTATTATTATACTCTACAAAGTATGCAATATGCATACAATTATACCAGTTTTCTAGCATAAAAGAGTGGAGTATAATTTTTCAAATGATAATCAACGTAATACCAAAAGAATTTCTTAATGGTAGATTAGCATAGAAGAAAGAAAGTTCCTAAATCTTCTTGTTATTAGCTATAGTACTAACACAAAAGAAGAAAAAAATAATTAAAGGCAAAGCCGAGAAACGACAAAGACATAACAAAGAGCCAATGGGATATCCAAAAGATCACATTCAACTCCATTAATATCTTCCTCACACTTTGAATGTTACAAGTATGGTATAAGCAATAGGGAGCAGAGATCGATCTCACCATCGCACATTCTAATTAAAAAGAAATTCAAATTCAGGGGGAAAAAATAATGAACCAATAGAAAAATACTAAAGATGGACGGGAGAAAACCTTTAGAGCGAAAACTTTCCGAAAAATTCCCAAAGAGTTAACTATCTGCAATGGAATTTCATTTTCAATTGTATATTTAGGAATGCAAGTACAAAGAGTAGAAAAAAGAATTAAAGTAAAAGAATATGTCATTTAATTATAAATAAAGTATAAACGGTTATATACCCATATTTTTTACACTAATTAATTAGAGTAAATTGTCCTTGTTTGCTTCTTTGTTGAACTATTGGCCTTTTTATACTGTCACAGTAGAATGCTCCTCTGCTGTAAGGAACTCTTTTTAGTCAGTAAAATATATTGGGTAGAAAAGTTTGAGTCTTAAGAAAATGATCATTATAAATGTTTTGACACCACCATACCCTTTTTATGCAATTTGTGATGTGCCCACATGTCTTTTTTTTCCTTCTAACATTGATTAAGTTGAACCTTCTCATTGCACTTGAATACGACCAAGAAAAGACTAAAACGACAAATGGTGGCAATCCAACCAAAGAATTGTGGACTTCCGATAACAAAGACAGTCACAGTACACATTTAGTGATAAGTCAAAGTCGAATTACGCTAATAATTCATAGAGTTGCACAAGAAATACGCACACCCAATTTTTAAACCTTTCTTCTTGGATTTTTAAGGATTAAAAAGTAAAAACCTTGGCCACTGCTATGACTTCAGTACAAACCAAGATTAAGCAACAAATCTGTAGTTGGTAAGCCAAGAAACTGCAGGAAGAAAAAGAAAAATGAGCTACCTGACCATTTTGCTCGAACTGTTGCCACTTGAAGAACCAAAATCAAGAAGAGATATAAATTGCAACCAAGTCCATTCCCTTCGCCTATCATCAGAAATCTTCTTACGTTTTTCTCTTTATTTTCTCCCCTATTCAACACATAATTTTTAATAGCTTCAGCAATATTTTCAGCAAATACAAAAGGAAAAAAATAGAAGATTACTCTCCTTTTCAAATTACACTCTTCTTCATACTATTCATATCTCCATTCTTACTCCTCTAATTTTTTCTGCACATTATCATACTTGTCCTCTAAAAATTTAACATTCCCAGGAAATGCATTTTCCTTGATTAGCTCCTCTTCCCATTTTAGTACATCAATCAGCAAAGAGAAAAAGAAAACAGTGGAGCGCCACCATACAGGCACACCAGAGGAAATAAAAAAAGTACAAAATCATATCCAAAGATGGAATTTCGAGTATCGTTCATTGCATTAGAACCATAACGGTACTCATAAAACACATTCATATTGTAGTAAAGGGCAAAATATAAACGAACCTAATTTGTTGACATTGTTTGAACCATTGTGAGAACCGAAAGTCACTCGTCAACACGCTCGCTTGAAATGGTATCACTGACAGGTTATTGATAGTATGCTTGTATGCTTTGGAGGGTCAGAGGATGAATGGAGAATTATTAGGAGAAGAAAGGTTGGGAATTTTACATTGGGAGGAAGCTCTGAGCCTCTGACCTTTGAGAGAAGACTCGCTCAGAACGTGGGGTGTGTAATGTGTTAAAGAAAACAAAACGGCTATGTGGAGTTTTATTGTCAAAGGGCAAAACTAAACGGCTATTGGGCTTAATGTTTTGGGCCATTAAGTAGTATTTATTATTTTGAGTAGTGGGCTAATAAAAATAAATGAATTGGAGTGAAATANTTTAGGGGTAAAGAGAAGATTGAAGAAACTTGTAGGGCGAAAAACTCAATAAACTACTAATCTTTTTAGAGATGCGATGGGGAGGAAAACCAATAGGGTTCATTACTTGGTTCTAGTTCTTAGGGCACGCACACACTGTTTGTAATTCCACCTCTCCGACACCACCAATTCAATTTTAACTCCAAAAAGAGAAGATGGAGGAGTTGAAGAAGAGGAAGCTTGATGAAATGGCCAATAATGGTCAAATTGATTCTAACTCAACATCATCATTATCAGTAGAAGAATTGCGGTCTTTGCTTGATCCTCTTGCTAAACCCCATCTTGTTGATCTTCTCGCTAAAATGTATGTATTATTAATTTTCTTGGTGATTTTTCTACATTTGTTTCTTCTTCTTTTTTTTGTCTTTTTTGAAATTTTACAAGGTAAGTGTTGGGAATGTTTATTGGGATTAAGGGTTCCGTAGTAAATTGTAAAGTTGGTTCCTTTTTCCAATTTTGAAAAACCCTGTAGTTGCTTTAGTTGTTTTCGTCAGATACTGCATCCCAATTTAGGGGCGGTATTTGATTAGGCACGAAAGTTTAAAACTAAAGACTCTTGAAATTTGTACCCTAAAATAGGTCATATACATTTGTATGATTATGAATCATCTAATTGTGTGACTATAAATGATTCTTTTTGTGACAAACTAAAAGAGAGAAAGTGTGCCTGATAAAATGGGCCGCAGGGAGTATAATTTAGCTGTAACACTTTGGCTGTCTGAGAAGAACTTCTTTTTGTTAGATGAGAAGAAGTTGGAGCTGAAAATAAGCTTTTGATTCTTATAGGGAAGTTAAACATGTCCTCAGTTACTGGTCGGAATTAAATTATTGAAGGAAACTTGGTGGACCAATGATGGAGAATATGGTTTTATAATTTCTCAAGTTAGATAAGAAGGCAACTGTTATTGGTTTCTTCAAGGTTTAAGTTACTGGTTGAATGCGTCGAATGAGGAAACATGTGTTATCAGGAATCAAAGACTTTAGTGCTAATAGTAACACGTCGGTGACCTGTCATTGAAAATTTCATCACATGCCTAAGTATATGTCCTGTACGCATCTCATGATTATTATTTGGCCTTTTTATTAAGTTTATATCTGATTTTTTTTTAAAAGTTTTGGTTTTAGCACTCAATCTTGACTAGCAGAAATTCTTCACATCGAACATTGAATCACTTATTTGCCTATGGCTGGAAGTGGAACAATATTAAAAACATAATTACAATCTTATTTTTCCTATGCTGAGCGTATTTTAACGTAGGGTTTAGTGCAATTTGGTCTTTCATGTTAGCACTAGTCTTACGGTTCAGTTTGAGTATATCCTAATCTCTGTTGGTGGTGTGCGTAAGCTTATGTGCTCGTGCTAAGGGGACATTTTTATGTTCCTCGTAATTGTGTGTGGTGTGAATTGACGTTGTGCATGTGTGCTTGTTTGCATGTTATGGCGTGAAGAGGGTCACAATACCCTTCTATTGCAGAAGAAATTAAAAGTGTTGCAAGCGCAGAACAATCAAATAATAAAGATAGTGCTGCAAGCGCAGATCCAGCTCTTCGAAAGCTTTTTGTTCGTGGTTTAGCCTGGAATACTACGTCAGAAACTTTGTGTGCTGTGAGTGCATTACTGTTTGGTGCTTGTGACTTTGTGTTTTCTTGGTGATTGTGCAAATGATGATATGAGTCCTTAAAAGGATTGTGGTCGTGAAGTTTCGTGTCACCTTCTTTTATCTTCTATTGAATCTATTTGATGTGACCTCTCTCAAACCTTCAGCAAATGCATGCATGTTTCAAATTACATCATTAAGGATGATTGTGTCCGCAGGCGTTTACAGAGCATGGTGAAATTGAAGAGGGTGCTGTGATTACTGACAAAGTAACTGGAATATCACGTGGATATGGTTTCATTACTTATAAAGACGTGGAATCTGCTCAGATGGCCCTTAAAGCACCAAGCAAAATGATAGATGTAAACACTAGATTCTTTAATTATGTTGTCTTGACATTTGAACTTTGTTAGAAATTTGTATGTAGTTTTATTCTGTCGATTGCTTGATGCTAATAATAATCAAAAGCATTGCTTTATCTAATATTTCTATCTCTTTTTAAGAAGTATTTGTAGGCCTACTGTGGCTAGATACTCTGCAATTTGGATTAAGTGAAACAATCTCTGAAGCATGCATTGAACTTAAGTTCTTGTAGTAAAACTTACCTATCAAAACACAGGATATCTCGATATCTCACTTACCGTCTGGCCTTCTTCACTCGTGATAAATGAGATGGTAAAGTTTTCTTTGCTAAAATACCTGTGCAGGGTCGCATGGCTGTTTGTAACCTCGCTTGTGAAGGTTTAAGCAGTACCACTGTTACCGCTGACCAAGCCCAGAGGAAGCTCTATATTGGAGGTTTGTCATCAGACACAACAAGTGAGATGTTACTCAGCTTTTTTAGTAGGCATGGTGAGATAGAAGAAGGTTCAGTTGCATATAACAAGGACACGAAGACATCACGGTTAGAGATACATCTCTGTTTGCATTATAAATAATAAAACTGTTCCGTCTGTTAGCATATCTCTAACAAGTTTGTAATTTTGTATGAAGTGGTTTTGGTTTTGTCACATACAAGACGGTTGAGGGTGCAAAGAAAGCTCTAAACGATCCACAAAGGATTCTTGGGGTAAGGAGACGGTCAGCTATCTTTCTACAGATGATGCTCATAAGTGTTGTGCTATTCTGCATACAGTATATAATGAGACATTTTCAATGCTATGAATATTGTGGTCTCCTTGCTAAGAGTAGTAATGGTGCTCGGTGAAGTATTGAACTAGGAAAGCTTTGTTATTATAGAATGAAATCAATAATGATTGTTACGTGTTGCTGGTACGATGAAGATATCCAATTTATTTGTCGTCTAAAGATTTTATGTTTATTTATTATGATTGCAGGGCAGGAATCTTACTGTCAAGCTTGCTGATAATCACAAGGGTAAAATTACACAGTCCCAGGTACGAGCAACTATGGTGCCGATGTCCATGCCATTGGCACCTGGTTATCCACAAGCTCAGAAGACGCATCCCGGCCCGGCAGCACCTGTTGGTTACGGTTATCCACAAGCAATGGCTGCTTACACAAATTCAACATACTCAAGTCAACCAGCTGCTTACACAAATTCAACATACTCAAGTCAACCAGCTGCAGCTCCTCCATACTCGGGCCAGCCTCAGTTTCCTTACCCCCAGTATCCTGTTAAACAAGAGCCTCAAACAACACCAGCATCTTTTGGAGGTTACCCATACTACATGGGAAAGCAATGAGTACCGGCACCTGAATCCTAGTAGTATTGGCCTCAGTTTGTTGTCTAATTATATAGCTATTTTGTGCTAGTTGCTTCAAAGTACCAGTGCCATGTGTTTGATGTTGTGTATTCTTTCTTACTGTTAGAATACATACATTTTTTTTTAATCTTAGAAGAGACTATGTAGTAAACGACCTGAATGTAAGATTAGATTTTTCTCATGGAAGTTAGTTAAAAGACGAGAGGTTTTTGACAATGTAGATGGGCAGGTCTCTGGTGTGAGCTATGAGCTAACATCCCATACATAGGAGAACACGAATACAAAAGACAAAACGCATTCAAGGGTGTGGCCTAGTGGTTAATGAAGTAGGTTGAGAACCATGAGGTTCAAATCCCAGCAGAGGAAACAAAAATACTAAGTGATTTTTTCTCTTCTGTTTAACTTTTGGTGGATAGAGTTACCCGATATCTGTGCCAGTGAGATGTAACATATATCCCATGAAATTAGTCGAGGTGCGTACAAGCAAAATTTGCATAAGTTGGACATTTAATCAATTACTACTTAATCAATTTTTAGTAAACATTCTTATAAACGTTGGCATTTCGTTAATAAGTAAATCTTTTCATAAAATAATTGTAAATAAGTTCAGGTGCATAAGTTAGAAATACTCTATAAAGTTGTGATATCACTCAATGGAGTTATAATGTGCACGTTCTTTACTCTTCTCCACTTAAATGCTCGTGATGAACGCTTTATTCATACGAGCTGCACTTTTACTACTGAACCATGCGAGCTGCGGTTTTACTACTGGACCAAAACCCTGGTGCAAAGGCACACAATCTCTATCAGTTAGATTTTTAATTATTGACTCATCAAAATCGATAAGGTTGCATTCCAAATGAAGGTGGGGACTTTAGTTACTTATCCATGTTGTTAGAGGTACAAAAGCTCCAAATTCCTAAAATTTAATTAATCTATGGTCAATTGATTTTAGGTAATGTTAAGGAATCTCTTGTCCCATATATTGCTTAGGTACACTTTTGACAGTACGCTTAGAAGTCATTTATTTATTAATAATTGGTTTTGGGTATACATTTAGTGGTACACGTTCTAAAGAGTCTAGATATTGAACTAGTTGTTAATTGGCCGGTATCAATAGGTGTATGTTTTATGTACGTTAGTAGGCATGGCAAAACTAACCTAAATCTATTTGACCCGCTCAAATCCTCCCCCCTCCCCTCCCCCCCCCAAACTTTTAATGGTTTCGACTAGAACAATTTTGAAAATGGATTGTTTTGGGGTAGCCCAAATTAACCCATAAAAAATTATAAGTGACATTTATTCCAAAATATAAGATAATTTTGTATTTACTTATTAAAAGTTGAGAATATTGTAAAGATTTGAGTCAATTTGGACGGGTTGGGTTATAACCTATTGTTTAGCCCATCTTGACCCAGTCATCTTAACCTAAGTGAACTTTAGACATGGTTGGGCAATGGCCCATTTAGTGAGTCAGCATATCTTGA